CATTCAATATTCACAGACAGATTGGTATTTCAGGTGATGAAAGCTGATCACAGGATTCCACCTAGAAGTCCATCGAGTAAGCCTCTGGCATTAACTAGAAGTCTTGCTGAAATCATTATACAAGTTAATTTGTCAGAACAGACAGACATAACCTTGTTCTTGGTTTTTGAATTAAAAACTCTTTTTTCTCAGTTTGAATACTGTAACAAGCATTCAGATTAGCGCTCTTACTTGTTTCTAACAAGAACGAAATGGTTCAGAATCACAAAACCCCGTCTTCCAAGCACAATCAGCATTGAAACAAGTGAAATCGAAACTTTATTCAGAAAAAGAAGGAAAAACATGGTTTTCATTCAATATTCACAGACAGATTGGTATTTCAGGTGATGAAAGCTGATCACAGGATTCCACCCAGAAGTCCATCGACTAAGCCTCTGGCATTAGCTAGAAGTCTGGCTGAATACATTATGCAAGTTAATGACTCGAAACAAACAAACAATACCTTGTTCTTGGTTCTTGAATTCCATAGCGTTGATGATTCTAGCGTATTGCTGGGCTGCATCAGCAGGGACCTAAATTCTCATTCATCTGAGATTACTGTAACTCTTAGACAAACCATAGCGGCAACTACAGCCAAGAGAGCGAAAAGGATGAGGATTCTGCGGAACATCTTGCGGTTGATAGTCTACACTTCATACTGTCATTCTTATATACCGAACATGAGGCTGATAAAACTCATTTTTTGCTGATAAACATGAAAAACAGTTCAATCCTATCAGTATGCCTACTCCACAAACAGAGATGTTTTGCTATGATATCGAGAAAATTGAAAATAGTTTGCGAGCTCATAACACAAGGTTGATCTCTCAAAAACGGTTCATCTATATGGTCATGGAGAACAGAGTTCTTTGATTTGAGCTAGCTTGCATCACCAAGTTTCCCTCCCTGACATTCAAAATAATTAATAGGAGAGCTATCCTAACAGTCGTGATCATGATCTCAACAGGATTGATCAACGTTATGAGTTTCCTTTACTGTATTTGGTTCTATCTGGCGTAGTTATGGAGAACCTTTGCAACAATAAAAATAACAAAATTACTCTTTTTGCTCAGTTTGGAAGCGGTAACAAGCATTCAGATTAGCGTTCTTACTCGTTTTAACAAGAACGAAATGGTTCAGAATCACAAAGCCCCGTCTTTCAAACACAATCAGCATTGAAACAATTGAAATTGAAAATTTATTCAGAAAAAGAAGGAAAAACATGGTTTCCGTCCAATATACACAAACAGATTGGTTTTTGAGGTGATGAAAGCTGATCACAGGATTCACCGAGAACTCCGCCCAGAAGTCCATCGAGTAAGCCTCTGTCATTAGCTAGAAGTGTGTCTGAAACCGTTCAAAGATATGGTGAGTCAATACAGACAAATGACACCTAGTTCTTGATTCTCGAATTCATGAGTGTTTCTGCTACTGGCCTATTGCTGGCCTGCATCAGCAGGAACTCGAATGATCGTTCATCTAAGCTTACTGTAACTCTTTGACAAACAATTTTGAAATCAAGAATCAGATAAATTATTTCATTTCATCTTATGAATATAGAATGGGAAAATTTATTCGAAAAAAGAAGGAAAAACATGGTTTCCATCCAATATTCACAGATATATTGGTATATAAGTTGAGGAAAGGTGATCACAGGACACCGCCCAGAACTCCGCCCAGAAGTCCATCGACTAAGCCTCTGGCATTAGCTAGAAGTCTGGCTGAAACGGTTATACAAGTTAATTGACTCGAAATAAACAAACAATACCTTGTTCTTGGTTTTTGAATTCAAGAGCGTTGATGATTCTAGCGTATTGCTGGGCTTCAGTAGGAACCTAAATTCTCATTCATCTGAGATTACTGTAACTCTTTGACAAACCAATGCGGCAACTACAGCCAAGAGGGCGAAAAGGATGAGGATTCTGCGGAACATCTTGCGGTTGATAGTCTACACTCCATACTGTCATTCTTATATACCGAACATGAGGCTGATAAAACTCATTTTTTGCTGATAAACATGAAAAACATTTCAATCCTATCAGTATGCCTACTCCACAAACAGAGATGTTTTGCTATGATATCGAAAAAAATAAAAAATCACTAGCACACTCATTGGTTTTGAATAAACTGAAAATAGCTGTAAAAGAAATAGTAGCGGAGGACATGGTATTTTCAATTTTTTCATTTTTGAGTTAGTTTAAATCGAGAGCCACATTTCGAGTTCCATGCGAGAAATACAATAATTCAGACACAACAAATGAATGTGCATCTGTACTCAAGACTGATAATGAAAGTTCAGAATTATTAAGTTTGAAATAGTTTAGGCTGTTATAATCTCAAATTTAATCTTCTTATTCGACAGCTTGTTGCTAATTTTCTGTTCCTGATTCAAGACCATCCAAAAACTTCTCCTCAAAATTGATTATGATAATGCCGAGAAAACTGAAATTGAACCTGGGTCGCTAGTTCATCTTCCTGATATCCTTTAGTAGCGCGTTGTACTCGTGGCGATCTCTGCGTTTTCGCTTCACTCATTCCCTCACCAAATCTGCTTCTGTTTGCAATTTTGTTATAGTAAAAACATTGACTCCAATTCTCACTTAGCTGTCAACTCTGGGAACTGAAACATTTGAAGTTAATGAAAGAGATATTTTGTAAACCTTGTTCTCTTCGAACGAAGTGATTAATGAAGCTTTTGAGTCAGTAGATTGAACACTCACGGGCTTACTTCTTTCTTTCTGCCTCTTCTACTCAAAAAGTTATTGTTTATTTGATTCATAACGAACCACCTCGAACAGGCTCATGTATGGATATATTCGACAGAAAGGAGGCATGCTGAGCATATATGCCTGAAGAAAGTTGTACTCTCACTTATTAAAACACTTACATAGAAACTAATAATAGCTATAAAATGAAACATGACGTAAATTCCGGTTGAAACACGAAAATGCAAAAAAAGCGGAAGAATGTCTTCATTCCATGAAGAAGCTTGAGCATATATCTGACATTAAACGAAAGATGCTAGAAACATTGCTAGAGTACTACCACTCTTGGAACCATGGCACGAATCTTAGTCTGATTCGAAAGATATTCATATGATTGACAGCCTTGTCGCAATTGTAAGGAATTTGACTAAAATTATTATTAGCGATAGTGAGATATAGATAACCCTCACACAAAATGTAACCAGAAAAACAGTACCAACAAGCTTCCATTTCATTATGACTGTTAATTAGCTCAAGTTATGAGGTCTATGTAATTTCCACGTGAAATGACGTAAAATCCCGTGTGTGGCAGCTTCTGGCTTTTCATTTTTGCTCATGAGCAACCGGTCGTATTGAATGTTTTTTTTAAATCGAAATGTGAAACTTTCTCAGGCAGTTCAAGAAGAAATGAATGACAACTGATATATGATCTCCCTAACCAATCTTACCTTGTCGATTACAATGTGCTGATATGCAAACGACACACGTGGTTCCTGCTGCTCTTCTTAATATGACTGAACATTCCGTGGCAGAATCATTTTTTAAATTCAAGAAAACTTCAAGATGAAAGTAAATTTGTGTTCAAAAAAATGATATTTGTGTTCCACATCTTCTCTATAGAAGCAGATAAAACGTGTTCGATGGGACTATGAATGACATATCAGTTCAAACTTCCGAATAGTTATCTATCTTTTTTCTATAATCCTGTTAAAAGTAACGATAGAATTTTGATGATTTTTAATTTTTATCTGCAAAAGTTTTATAAAAAGGAAGTTGTATTAACGAGAGGTGTAGCTGAGAGAACAAGGTTATCTTTTCTTAGCTGCTGTTTCATATGTTAAATATTTTAATTAGTGCCATATATGGATAGATAAGAATATATCAGCTACTTTCATTTCAATTTTGATTATTTTTCAAGTTCGAAAAATCATCATGTAGTTTCATTTTGTCATCTTATTATGGAAACAATCTCCTGTATATAAGGCTTGTGGTGTGGCCAAGGCGTGAAGATGATTAAAGATTGAATCATAATTCACTTAATTCTTTGCTAAACCGTTTTATCTTTAATTCCTTTTTTGGCAATAGATAAAGATTGTTCTCTCATTCATTAGTTTGTGCTGTATTCTTTCAGGTAACCTCATGACTTCGAAAACAGTAAGAACGGAGCATGACTACACGGCAGAATTGACTGATGTAAGTTTCAATTTCATTTTTTTCTTGCACATTGCTCTCGTTCTCGCGTTCTCATTAATTACATTTCTGTTATAGAACGGAATAACTTGGGATGAAGATGTGACAGTTGAACTTAAAACTACAGTTGTAGACTATGAAAGTTGTGAGAGCATTGACAAGAAGCCTGTTCCCATCGATAAAGTAACTCGATATAGACTTTTGAAATTAAAAAGAAATTCAGATGTACTTAGTATACGCCATAATTATGCTCAATGGAGTAGGAGTTCTTCTGCCATGGAATATGTTTATCACCATTGCACCAGAAGTGAGCATTCACCTATATCTGCGAAGCGTGTTCAATCCGTTATTGTAGTACTATGAAGAGTATTGGTTCACATATAATGGCACAGAATCAAAATATGGAAAACAGTTTATGACAGATTTAGGAATCATTTCACAAATTCCAAACTTTCTCTTGGCTGTCCTCAGTGTGGCTTCTGTCATAAAGTATGATTGTGATTTATATTTTTGATTACATTTTTGTTACAAACAGAGGTGCTCTGTTTATCAAGATAGGAGTTTCATTAGGGTTTAATTGCTTACTGATTGGTGTAATTTTGATCTTCGCGATCGTCAAAACTCCAGATGAAAAAGGTAAACGAAGAATAATTTTATAAGTTAAGTAATCTCGATAAGTTCAGACCAAGGATGGTTTTTTGCTGTGAATCTGGCTATAGTACTTCTGATGAATGCGTCCAACGGCTTTTATCAAGTATTTCCTCCTTTTATCAAATTATTCATCAATTTTCACTTTTTCAAGAATTCCATGTTTGGTTTAGCTGCTGATTTTCCTTTTGCTTATACAAATGCTGTGATAGTTGGAAGTAATTTATGTGGAACGTTCACCAGTGTTATGTCTATTCTCAGTACTCTAAGTAAATCTGTAGCAATAAGCTTGTTAACATTAAACTTTCGTTTTTTAGTTTTCAAAACAGCCTATCAGAAGGTAGCCATAGTATACTTTTCCATTTCTCTATTAGTTCTGATATTATGTGGATTTTCTATTATTGTAATGACTCGAACGGTATTTACTCGACAAACTTCTTTTTGTACGCTCTTCTCTTGTAGGAATTCTACAAGTACTATGCGGAACTGGGAGCAGCACAACGCAGCTCCACAAATGCTGAAAGACCATCATTGAAGCAATTTTGGGAAGCCTTCAAGCATGTTAGAATTTTGCTTGTCCCGCAAATCACAATAGTCTTTACTTACAGTGCTGGATCCAATATTTGAATGTGTTCTTAGTTTACTTCGTTACATTATCTATTTTCCCAACCGTATTAGTTGGATCCTTCTCAGGTAAAACTTTTTTTTCTAATATTAATAATGACCTAACCTTCAGGTGACACCAAAGATGTGGTGATTGGACTTGCAGTCTTCTTGAACTTTAACTTATTCGCCTTCTTCGGGTCCACAGCTGCTAATTTTATCCAAATTGTAAGAAAAGTAATGTATTATACTCATTATTATTTGTATTACTTTCAGCCAAGTTCTAAGTTCTTATTCATTCCCGTATTTCTTCGCGTACTCTTTATTCCATTTTTCACACTCTGTGCTTATGATAGCTTTGGATCTCCAGACCAACGTGTAATGCCCATAGCGTTCAACGGATCAGTTTGGATTATAATAGGAAATTGCATTATGGCAATCACTTCTGGTTACTTCAGTTCATTGGGAATGATGTATGCACCATCGTGAGTTCTTTTTCTGTTCAAAGATGTATCCAACCAAACTTCAAACAAAATGAAAAAAACAATCATCTGAGTCTTTGTATCTGAATGAAATTGCATATATTTCTCTTCAATAGCCATTCATCTGGAAACTATGCAAATCATTTTGATAAAAAAAAGTACTATAATCTATAAATTGTGCAGCATCAGAATGTATTGACAACAGTTGTTTTTTCTATTTCAGAATAGCCCCAGATCACTTGAAGAAGGTTGCTGGCCAATGCGCAGGTTTAGCTTTAGTCGGAGGTTTGTGATAAGCATGACATAATATAAAATGTACAAATGAACGTTCTATTGTAGGTATAATGGCAGGCGTAGCTTTCACACCAGTTATAACAAGCATGGTTGAACATATTCATTGAAAAACCTTTTTGCTTTCTGTACATAGTGATATTATAATTTTATAAAAATTATTTCTCTCTTTCTTTTTTTTTTTCATTGAATGAAACCATGAAATGGCATTCTTCTTAGATATGTTTCAGCTGTATATTAGATAGATAGAGTTTCTAATGAAAACTGATGTGAGATTATTTCATAAATATAATATACATATATCAGCTTGTGCCATTTCATATACAGCCTTCGCAAAAATAGTTGGAGCAAAATCCAAAATCGAATATTTTAAAATTTGTATAAGTTCTTTCAAAGAGCATAAATTCATAAAAGTTTTTTTTGACTCGTTAGTGTCTTTCGTGAAGCCACAAACTTTCTGTTTGATTTGTTCTTCTTGGTTAACTTTTCGAAATATCGAAAATATGTCAAATTTCACAAAATTCAAAAGTATCGAAAGAAGATGAAGCTTTCGATGTAACATTTTCTATTTTAATTTTCGATTGAACGAAAAAAAAATTTTCAAAAGTTGTTTTTCTTCTGGATTTTCTGAGGCTTCTCCCCATATCTACGTCTGCCTTGACTGTATATTCTTAGTCATGATTGATCGGATTGATATATCTTTATATAGATATTGTTATAACAATTTATGTCGTTTTGTTATCTTCTGTCAAGAATAGTTTGAGTTGTCTCATAATTATCATGTATTAACTATGTGATGCTTAGATGAAGCATAATAATTATATTCTTTTTTCGTTTATTCAGAATAATGTTTAAGAGACTTTGATACAAGTTACCAAATGAGGCTAACCTATTCGTCAATATCATCTCAATCACTTAAATACTTATCATCTCTAGAAGTATTCTGTCTCATATTCAATATGCTCAACTTTATAGTTGTTTTTCATGTAGTAGCAAAAACGCCTTTTCATTATAATCTAAGAACACTCATCATCTCTATGTTCACTTATTTTTATATTTTGGCTGTTGGTCGTCTAGTTGTTAATATTCATCGAATATATGATATCAATGATATTCTACGTAAGTTCAAAAGTTCATTAATGGATTCATTCGTGATTCATCTATTATAGCCGAAAAATCAATTATTATGATTATTGCTGATAGTTCTACTGTTTTCTTTGTACATTTTGTTATGATAAGGTTTGTAAATGATAATGTATCTGTCTTGACTTCAACTTCGACATCCGTTAAGTATGCTTGGATTATATTTTGAAAGACAGCTATCTACTTATTACATTGCGGATTATGAAAGAGTTACCAGAAAGCATTTACCCTGGATTATAATTCTCTTTATAACTACTTTATCTATCATATGTACCATATGCTTTACGTTTGGTATTTATTCATTATATATTCACTTACAACTGCATTCTTATTTTAGAACTTATACAATGGTATTATCCAGTTACTTTCTCATATCTGTGTATGTGTATTGGAGTATTGGTTTGTGTTATTCGCTTCGATATATTAGTTCAATTCTGCTTTGTAGTTGTTCATTAAGCTTTATCATACAAATATGGAGAAATGGACAGAAGTTCAGAATGATCATCGTCGAGCTCGTCATGCATACACTTTAAGCTTACGGTTTCAGTTAGAAGAGAATATTAGATCACTCAAGGTAAGTGAATATAATATTAAATTGAAAATATTTCTTTCAGCTCATCAAGCAAGGATTCTCAGTACTGGGATTTGCTGGTATAGCTGATTTTATACTTTTTGGTCTGTCCAATTGTGAATTCTTGCGTAAGCTGGATGATGGCTATCTATCCCAATTGCTATGTTGTTTATCATTTTTGTTTATGTCAATGTAAGTTTGAATATGATTCTAAAAGTAATACTTATTATCAAATTGAAGAATCGCTATGGCTGTTCCAATAGCCGCCCTATTCTCCCATCCAACCTACATGAAAATTTTGCAAAAAACTCGTTTCATTGGTTTTGAATTTCATTCTTTTTTATTATAATTCTGTTCACTCAGGGAAGCTCGTCAAATGGTACGACGTGCCATCTGTTGATGTTATCAGAACCGATGATACATCCCAATACTTCGCTAACTTATCCAAGCAGTGGAACACAACGGGTTAACGGACATCGTTTAAGCAAAAACGCTGTAAATGTGAACACGAAAAGTTTTCTACTACATTCGCAAACTGTTCTACAGAGAACCAACTCACATTCCTTATTGTTTGTAGCAACAATTTTCAAAAAATGATTTTTTGATTCTTCTCGTTAACAATTATGAAGATTTCTAAAAAAATGCAAAAAATGCGAGAGCATATAGAAACTTATCGAATCTCTTCAATCATCTACTTCCTCCTTCCTTTCTGAGTTACTCTGACGGATCTCTTACATTCGTTATAATATCAAAGATCATTTCTAAGTTATGCATTTTCATAGTTTAATTCGCTAGTTTTCTACACGTCACAACATCAAATAATAGTTTCCTAAGTGCTATATAAAGGAAATCTGGGGAAATCTCGAATAGACTTGCAATTGTTCGGGTTTTTCTTGTCATATATTTCTCATACTTACCCTTCTCATTAAAAGTTTACAGTTTGTACAAATCACAAAATCAGCTGGGCTGAACTCGTCGTTGATTTTTCTTCGCCGCTCATCTAACTAAGTGATTATCCGCTCGAGCAAGCATACAGTTTCATTTTGCACTCATCAAGCAACGCGATTGGTTGTGCTCATCTTCAACTTTCATTTCCTTCACGCCTAAATAATGAGCGGTCGTTCACGTCTCACGTTTTCACTTTGCACGCCTCACGCATTCGTATTGTTCGTACCCAATCTTCTTTCACACATATGTACGCTGTAAGTGCTTCTAAAGGGATGCTATAATTTGTGAATAGCGAACCATATAAACGTTTTATATTCCATAAGAGATCGAGAAACAAATATCATTAATATATTTCTTGAACTGAACGTATTTACCAGTCTCATGTTGAGCAATGTATGAAAACATGATGTGGGAGAATAAATTACTACAAACGTAAAGTTTGGAAACTACTTAACTTCACCTATAGTAGCTCATAGCTACTTATTGTAAGAGGTTTTCCATAATCCGTATTTTTGCTGATATTTTCAGCTTCAAGTGAATGGCCTCGACATCTGAAATCAGTGAACGTACTAGTTCTCATGAACAGTTCATGAAATATGATTTTATATGAACCCAAGCTTTTGGATGATTACGTAAGCATACAGTACCTAACTTAGAAGAAATATGGAATGGTTATCGAGAGCATTATAAAATCTCTTAATTCACAACCTTACCTATTATTTGAAACAGGAACAGCTGAAGCAAGAAGTCATTTGTCGTACGGAAGTTTTGATGCCTTGCTAGAATGAGAAAGCATATAGGATAATAAGAGTTTCCTTACTTGAACATCCTGATGATTATAAAGAAAATATAACGAATGAGAAATTGAATAAGTAGCAATCAGATAGTTTGTTACATCACAAGCTGTCATTAGAGCAGATGAAGAAGCTGTATATTTGAAAATTATAACTATTATCAGAGGACAACTGAGAAGAAGAGAAACAGCTATGAGATGAAACTGAAAGAAGTCAAATTATTTTGTTTATTTGTTGAGATATTATTGTTATGCCTCCCCCATTCAATATCCCAATCCATTTTCTCTTTTCATGAACCTAATGATGCAATTAAGTGTGGACGAATATAATATTGATAAGATTCTTCAGAATCTAGAATGTTCTCAGTGATTTCAGTCATTAAATTTTCCAAAATTATTACAGCAGAACCATCTCTCATTCGACAGAACTCATGAAATCTTATTCATTTTTCACATACTGTCTTTTAAAATAGATCTTTTTGCATTGTTGTTTTTTTCTCGCTAAAACGACATACCATGATTGGTCTTGCGAATTCCGTGTTTCTTTTTTCCTTGAATAGTATCGCTAGAAGTAATAGTGCCAGAAACGAAAGTCCTAGTGATATCTCATACACTGTTATCGATATAGTGGATAAATGAATCGGAACACATTCTTTTCCACTGATTGGTGATAACTCTTAATGTTTCTAGCATTTCTCCCTAACTGTTTTATCAATTTACCGATAGCTATGAACACTCCTAGCAGGATAAGTACGAATCCGATTCCTATAACATAGGGTATTGCTCTGGAACGCACAGTAGCTGAGTGAAAGTAAATCGGATGAAACGTTGCTAGCCACCAGTCAAATACTTCCGACAAGAGTAAAACAACCTAATGGTCCATATATATATACATACATAACCCTGACTCAACTTACCTGAATCAAGGCGATTGAGGTTACGAGCAAAACAATCAGATGACAATCCGTATCATTTTCGCGTGAAAGACATCCTATGATTAGCAGACAAACTGCTAAGATGATATCTACAGCAAACTTAACTAAAACAAAAGGCTTCTGTCATCGTTTCTGTACCCATAAAGCATGTATATTCCACTCACCACAGAAAACGTTATACTTATCACGTAATCGGTATTGATTTATAATTGTTGCAAGAATAATGAGTGAAATTAATAATAAAACTGTAGAGAATATAAAATACAAGACAGGAGTCATAAGAAGTACATTGAATGGCCAAAATTGAGTACCATCAGTCGATCAATCGATGCAATCCTTTCTTTTCGTTCTCTCTTTCTATACCTCTCTCCGAACTACCTATCTCTCTTCCTTTTTCTCCGGTATTTATTTGAACAGCCTACACATAACATAGCGACCTCTGTACAGACATCGTTCCGTTAAAAATAACATTTAACTTTCCAAGTTTTATTATAAATTATACTGAATTAAGAGAAATATAAATATGTACAGAATACTCGAGTCTATCGAAGATCAGTAGTAAGAGACATTTGATATTAAAAATCACATAAAAGCTTATACATAACCCTGATTGTTAGAATCATCACCTTCTGAATCAGATTCTTTCCCGTATTCAGCTTCATCATAATCTTTTCCCCCCTCACTCTTGATTCCATACATTTCATCGTCTTCTCCTTGCAACTCTTTCATGGTATTTACAAATTTGTTAATATAAAGGAAAGATGGAGGAGGAGAATGAGCTGCTAAATAGAAGAAATGAACTGTGATCGGAAGTGCGGTAGTATCAGCTAATCGGCAAATTACAACACTCTGAACCATTGAAACAAATATTCATGAGAAAAACTTCTACTCAATCACACCTGATCCAGACGTAACGACACTGCTTGTTTGGCGGTATCGTGAAGACAAGTACCATGTGCGTTACAAACTACCATTCTAGAACAAACTTCCTGGATGAAGTAATTCTTTGTTTCTTACCTAAAATGAACTGTTCTTTCGCCTTTCAGGCTTATAGAGTAAGGAGTAGCCTGACTCAGACAATTCCGTTTCATTGTTAGTAATCTGATTAAATATGGTATAAGACGAAAACTAGTCAAACGTTATGAAATACCCTTTGTTATAATTGAGAATAACATCCATACCCGAGTTGTATCCCGACCATCTCCAGCATTTCTGGAATAATATGTTTTTGAAGACCTCGGTAAACTTTACTCACTGGAGAACTTTTCACGACTCTTCCTAGGCGAATGCAATTTATATAAAAGTTCTCAATGGCTATATCACCTATGCTGAAGCAGAACGTAATTTTGTATATTTGTGAAAACAAACCCCTCAGGTTTCTCTTCATTTTCTAACAACGTTTTCCATTGGTCCACCATTATGCCGTTTATAATCTCTCTCGGAATCAGCCCATCACGGTCAAGTTCCTGCAGACAAGCTGCAAAACAGAAAAAAAACTGAAGACGAAAAAGGGGACAGCTCACATGTCGTCATCACTAGGTGGTGAAGCCTGAGTGTTCCTAACAAACGTGAGTATTTGAAGAATAAGGAATTGCGGGGCTGTGATGTGAAGAACGACTTTTCTTTTTCTATGAAAGCTTCCGACTTGAGTGAGCTACATTCGGGATGATGTTGAAGAAAAATCCACTAAAATTACGGATATTCGTAGAAACTAAATTGAATCACACTGTTTTTAACATGGCATACAGATCCATTTCTCCTTCGACTAATAACAACTCTGTTGAGGACAACAAACGCATAAAATAAGTTTCTCTGTAATAGTGTCGTTCCGCAAACTGGTGATTAATAACAACGTACTCTAGTTCTTTCAGCATGTTCTTATCTGTCATAAGTCTCCAAAAATTCCAGTGTAGTAGAGATTGCGCAGTTTTTTCAACCTATCATGATGGCATCATAAAAATTTGAAACAACATTCCACATACCCTTGAAAGTCCGTACTTTGCCGCCACGCGCAGGTAGCGCATGATAGTATTATCATTCAGATGAATCTCCATTTCTTCATCACATCTGTTCAAAACTGAGTCCTGCATATGAGAAAATTACAGAGAAATTCGTCAAAAAAACCCAACTAGTTGGAAATAGGACGCTGTTGCAGCTATTGATATGAGATCTTCTTCTCGGTATAATAATTCATTCTGATACAATGATCCGAAGACGGCATCCAGACCTATCACACAATTCATACCATATTACAACAGAAAACACAACGATTAACCTTCTGTTGTTATATTGGGGTCATCAGGGATGTCTAAGTCATGTACTTCTTTCTTAGAATCACTCCAATCACCGCTCAACAAAGCCTGAACAAACACATATCACTGATTATAAATTAAACATTCAAACTTCGAAAAATGAGCACTGCTGCAGATAAAATCTGTGCAATTTCCATGTTCTATCCAAAGCACGCACTGTTATGTTCGAGTCCTCCCCCTAAACAGGGTACATGTTTAAAGCCGGCCACAACTGAACCTCTCACTTACCCTAAGGAATAACTTTTCATAAAGATAATGAGGTGTATCCAACTTGAAACTCTTCACTTCAGGTTCGTCTTCATCATGCTCAGGCTTTACAACGCTTTTTTGTGAAGATGTTCTTTTACGTGTTAGTTTTTTCTTCTTGGATGCTGAGCCTAGAGGGTTAGAGAATATTCCTTCGGTGGATTCAGGAGGCTCCTCATAACCACCAATTCTGTCTAGCGTGTTGCCCATTCTTCACTCCATCTGAAAACGGGATGTAAACAAAAACAAATAAGAATACTAATGTAATATACAGTGTAAAAGTCATGGGGTCATAAGTGGACCAGTGCTAAATATACTAGTTTGAACCTTGGACTAAAGCCAACCCAGTTAGATGCGCAGGTCGGCTCAGAGATCTGCACTTTCAACTGGAAATCTTCGAAAAGTTTATAGGAGACTTTCAAATCTCTGACGTGGGAGCAAGTATGGTGTCTTCCACTATTTAGTAGAATAATTAGAAAGTTTACATTTTAACTCGATAACTAGGCATATTCCTGACTTCTTGACTTCTGAAAAAAATTCCAGGTCGGTAATGGCTCAAAGCTCCTTCCTCTTCACCTCTGAGTCTGTCTCAGTGGGACATCCAGATAAGATGTGTGATCAGGTGAATAGTCAACTGGGACGGTGAAGTAGGGGAGATTGTTTAGATTTCTGATGCCGTCTTGGATGCTCATTTGGCTGTGGACCCCAATGCTATGGTAGCGTGCGGTTAGTGATTAATTAAGAGATGATCTAGGCTATATTGCATTTTGACCTGTCCAACTCGAAAATTTGACTCGAAGGTGTTTTCGGATTGTTGTTGAAATTATGCTTTCAGAAACCGTCACCAAAACTGGAATGATTATGTTATGCGGTGAGATCAGTTCAAAAGCCAATGTTGATTACCAAACTTTGGTTAGAAATGTTGTTAAGAAGATCGGTTATGACGATTCTAGCAAAGGTTTGGTTCTCTTTCCGTGAATATATGTTTATTAATGTTTTAAGGATTCGATTATAAAA